GGAGCGGAAATACGAAACGAGGAGGAGGCGCCACGGTTCGGAACGTTGCTTAACAACTCTCTTCGCCGTAAGAGAAAAAAGGAAGGAGGGAGAAGGGCGTGCGTAGCGGGTTGAAAAAGACGCGCGGGGCGAGGGGCAAAGTTCGTTGTTTGTGGAAAAGCGTGTAAGCGCGGCAGGAAGCGCGGGGGAACAGGAAGGAAGGAAGGGAGGGAGGGAGGAGATGGCTCGTACTATCTAGGGAATGGTATAGGCTCGCACGATGCCGGATGCTGAACGCTCGCAGCGAACGTTGCTGCGCTCAGGAAATTTCTTCGGAACGTGGCGCCCCCGCGTTAAAAGTTTCCAACCAGTTTCGCGCGTGTGTGTTAATTGCGGGGGATCTCCGCGCGTCGTTGTCGCGCGCTGTTGAATGTAAATAATTACGAGGCGAACCGTCGTCCGTGGAATATCGTCTTCCCAACGAAACGGGATCACGATTGTTGTTGTTGTTGTTATTATTATTATTATAAAATGTATTTTAAAGAGAAGAAGAAGGATTAAAAGATTCCGATTCTCTATCGAATACGAACGATCGATACGAGCGTTTCTCCGTTAATATTAACATTTCTATTTCGACCGTGTCTAATAACTTTGATCGAATTTAATTGGATAAACACACGCGAAGAGCAACTTAGTTATAACATATAGTATATACAACCGATTGGACCGTTTGGAATCGAGTCCATCGACGAGCGATTCAATTCAGTTTGATCGTTTAATAAATAAATTATTCCGTGCAATGATGGGTGAATTATTAAGGGTGAGTTTTGTAGGTTTTTAGAAAGAATAGTCGTTTCATCCCTTCCGAGAAGAACGAACGAATTGAATAATTAATCAAAAATCTAATAAAATCCATTCCGAAATCAAATGATCAAAGTTTATCCAACTCTATATAACTGCGTTGTTCCCTTTCCAAGGGGATAACGTTTAAGTTAAATTTTTATAGCTGAAACTACTACTACTACTCTCCGCCCTCCGCCTCTCCGCCTGGATATTTAGAAAAATAAAGATTTTCCGATAAAACTACGACCGATAAGCTGTAAAATAAATATCGGCGAATAAAAAAATATCCCGTTCATAGAAGAGCTAAAGTCGTAAAAATTACATAAAAAAAAAAAATAATGTTATAAAATCACAATACACGTCCGGTGAAAATTTTCACGTAAAAAAAAAACAAATAATAATAATAATAAAAACGTATTTCTCCGCAAAAGCTCCGAGATATAAAGTTTTCTTTATTTAATACCGGATAATTGTTACGATTATTCAACCGATAATTGTACGAGTTGCTTAAACCGCCAAAGCTAACTGCAAACCGAATTTCCAAATGGTCATTAATTTAATCGGTAACCGTATCTAAGTAATAGTCTGGTCACTAATTTCAGTAATTAAACGAAACTTGTGCTTTCCGTGCGCAACAACCATCAACGGCGTTGTATAATATAACGCACCGCTTACGTTTTCTTCTTAATATCCATCCCGAGGGGGTGGAATCGATCGAATATAAGAAAATATAGGAACCCTCGGAGGGAAAATCGATTCTCCCGTGTTCCATTGAAAAAGAAAGAAAGAAGAAAAAAAACCTCGTTTCTTCGATTCGAGAGAAATACCAATCGACGAGTCGACGATGAAAATCGTCTCGAATTTTTTCTTCGCCGCAAACTTTTCCTCGTAAGATTGATGCACTCGCGGGCCAAAAATGTATGAATAAAAATTTCTCCTCTCCTGAAACAAGTCGTATCCCTTATGCGACCGACACCGATTCACCCTTTCAAGACTTTCGCGGTAACATTGTCCCATTTCGCGAAGATTTATGAAAATCATTCCCTCTCTGCAAAAATGGAGAAGAATGCTTGTTTTTTTTTTTCCCCCCCCTTTCTTTCCTTCCTTTTTAAAACATCCACAGTAAGGATGAAGAATCAAATTAACAAGGGAATATCTCGAGACGAATAAAAATTCCAAGTAGCGTTTACTCTCGGGGCAAAGCTGCCTCGTCGAAAGCGCACTTTATCATGCAGTCACTTTCTTTCCCTTCTCGCAGTGCAAACAGCTAGTCGAGTAAACGACACACACCATCTCTGTAAAATTAACGCCGGGGCAAAAAGTGTTAGATTTAGCGAAAAAGGAAAAAATGGTGCTTTCAAACTAGTTTCTCTTCCTCCTCTGAAAAAAAAAAAAAAGAAGAAAAAAAGAAAAAACTTTCTCCACCCTCTCTTGTTGCTCGAGATGCGCGCGGATACGCATAGGTAGGGGGGGGGGGGGAGGAAGACCGAGCTTGGAAAAGCTTCGACGGCGATTTACAATTACAAATAAAAAAAACCTCGACGCAAAATCTCTCGATATTCCTTCCCATTTAACGCTTCTCTCGTTAACGATCAACCCTGCGTAACGAGAAAAGTTGACCCTCCACTTTCTCGCATTTTTTTCTTCTTCCTTTCGTCGGAAAGAGGTCAGAGAAGCGTTTGCCGGAAGCGTTTAAACCGTTTTCGTCACGCGGTCGCATTCTTCCTCGCATTCAAGTCTGTCATGAATATACGCATTTCGATTAGTAGCAGGATTAATTACTCGTTCCCTCTTTTCACATGAAATATCAATACAATTTAAACACGCAATTTACACTCGTTTGTTTAGAGGCAAACTTTCTTCCTTCTCTCGCTACGTACAGGGTGTTTATAAAAATGTGTGCGACACCTTTGGATTCTGCACTTTCGTCGAGGGGCTCCGCTACGCAATGCAAACTTAAAACTCCTTAAAAAACTTCTTAAAACTCTTTAATGAACCTTTTATCCGCCCTCCAAAGGTGTTCCACATTTTTATAAACACCCAGTATATACGTAATAAATGAACGGTAAGTAGCTGAGCGCAAAAGTACGTTGGTCGTCCGGGGAAAGCTTATTACTCGATGTTTACAATCGCGAGCGAAACTTGGCCGGCGTACGTAACATTGGAGGGAGAGAGAGAGAGAGAGAGAGAGAGAGAGTAC